GTGGGAGAGTGCTGAGGAACATCTAGGACCTGCAGTCTGGTTGGCAGTAGGAACAGAGGCAGATATGAGAAATAATAAACTGAACTAAACATAGTACTAAAATGTGTCTTTGGTACAAGCATTTTCCCCCTCTTATTCTTACAAATATTCTAACAGGTTCTACCCTAATAGGTTCTACTGTAGCTTTGAACAATATAGTTCCTTATTTTCTTGTGTTTTCTTGCCTTTCAAACCCTTCTTGTGCATCTCTCTCATTCTATTAACACCATAAAGCTTTAATTTAATTAAATATTTCATACATCACACAGATCACACAATTCATTTAAAGCTTAAGCTGTGCAGGTTTCTAATGTTAAAGATGAAGCTGGGCATGACTACATCTCTTGCCGGCACTGTTGTGGCCACACCTGTAGGTCAGGGGGAAATAATGCATGTGTCTCCATGAATCGTTTTGAATATTGAAAATATATGTAATATTTGAAGATATCTATTCTTATTTTCTTTTAATGTAAGGTAGTGCCTTTTTCTTTCTTTTTACAGTTCCTTATCTGTGGCATCCCAGAAATGTGGACATCTGGGGCACTAGGCCTTAGTACATATAAAACTTTAAATTTTCCACGTTTGTTTCACATCTCCACCACTGTTTTTAATGTGCTGGAGATTCTAGATTCTAGATCAACACAAAATAGTGAATAATTGTGAAATGAAAAGGAAGGTAATGGACCCGTAGGACATGCCTATGTGTAAACAATTCAAGTGTCAGAGAACGTTTTAAAAAGTGAGGGAAATTTTGCACGTGGAGGAAAACTATTACTATGGCTTTTCCTTAATACCCATAGACTCAGTGATGTGTGGTGGTGGCAGCCCTATGATGTAGGAATGCTTATCTTCACCAGGGATGGGGAAGCTGGAAGTTTTTTTTTTTTTTTGAGTGTGTTGTGTTGTTGAGGTTCTCTGTTCCCCCCTCAGGTCTGTGGTGTTTACCTGCAGTGTGGGCATGGCTGCCCCTGATGAGAACTGCTGAACTTGGGAGCCATTAGGGACATGACTGACCTGGAAAACACAAAGAGGGAGACACACACTATATGCCTGATGGTGGATTGGACTGGGAATCTAAAGCAAGCTACCTTCATTCCAATGCCGATCAGATGTTTATAATTATGTCTCCTTGTTCTCTTTGTGATCCTGTCTGAGACACACTTGGTGAATGTTGGATCAAGTTCCTAGAATCCAGCCTGCCAAGCTGTAATACCTACCAGGAAAACCCAAGCCCACTCTAGTGCAATACCATCCTAAACATGTTTACCTTAGTCCATGTTCCTTTATCTTGCAGACACTGTCTGAGGAATCAGATAAATCTTCTAAACTTAACTTTAACTTGTTTAATGATGCTTTTAAAAAATCTCAATTTTAAATGTTTTAGCTATAAAATGAGACCAGACTTAAAATGTTTGTAGGTTTGAAAAAGCTAGGTCAATAGTACTGCCTCTGATTCATTGTTTGAAGTAGAAAAATTCCAACCATTAAACAGTTTTACAGTTTTACATCTGGGTTAGAAGTTAACAAAAGCCATTACATTGTTAGCTTGAACCAAAACTGGACAATTCATCAGGAGAAAGCCTGTAAGAGGCTCCAGTGTAACAGCCTTATCTAAACAACTGATGCTTGTAATACACTCTAAACTGATTTATTTTAAATGTTAAAATAGCCTAGTCAAAGTCCAAACTGACATTTGGTGGAGAATCTGTGGCAAGCTTTAAAAGTGTATGTTCATAGACAATTTCAATCTAATCTGACTGAGTTGGAGGAAGAGAAAAAAAACATAATAGAAACTTCAGCCTCTTGATGTGCAAAGCTCATAGACACATGACCCAAAAGACGTTTAGCTGTTTGAAAGATAGGGTTCTACAAGCACTGTCTAAGGGGGACCAAAAATAAATTCACTCCAAACTTTTTATTTCCAGAGTCAATGTTCCTGTTCTTGGATGCCAGTGGTTAGAGAGGGTTTTTGCCTTGTCTCGATGTTTTTACTGATTGTGTCCTGGCTCTTCTCAACTGAGCGAGCCCTTTTCCTGTTTTGGATCAGAAGAGGGAGCTTGTCTAAAGGTCCACAGTTCTCCTGGTACCATGTCTTGTCTCTGCCTCTCAATTATTGAGCCCGCCTGTCTCCATCTGAGTGTGTCTGTTTGAGCTCGCTGTTGGACTCATGGAATTCTGATTTTGCCTCATCACTCTGTGGACTCTGTTCCTGCTCTCATTGGAACCTCTGACCAGGTTTTGGACTCCTGGATCTCAGAACCATCCTTGTTCTGGACTCATTCCCTGATCTGGCTCGGACTTCTGCCTGTTTCATGTGGGTTGCTGCATCAGGGACACTCTGGGCGGTTCCAGGCATGCCTCTCGTGGCAGTGCATCGGCTGGATCCTGCCTCACCCGAGAATATGGACTGAACTGTTTAACCAGGTAAGTGACTCACATGGATAATTATCTTCCATCAGATTAACATGGTCACTTACCTGTGTTTCTCCCTCCAGAGTGACAGTGTTGGGCAGCCCTCCCGCCTCCCGGGGGAGGCATTCTGTTTCTGTTTTGTTTTATTTTCATTAAATGTTTTGAAACCTCAAAAAAAAAAAAAAAAAAAAAACATTTATAAACATTTCGAATTTTCCCACTGTCTGTCTCGCCTGAATACTGGGTCCTACATTTTGGGTTTCATGACACTGTACACAATGCTTTGAGATAATGCATTTTGCCTTGGCTTTTTTATTTAAATTATTACTAAGTAATTGGTCAATCCTATGTTAAAAGCAGATTTTGCTTGCTGGCCTCAAGATTTCTTAAATAAATTAAGCATTTTATGAATTTATTGTAATGTCTACCTATTTAAGGCACCAATTGTAATATCAAACACACATTAGTAGTCTTTCTTCCTATATAGCTTGTTTATTTTAATGACATGCCATTTAGAGCTGATCCATTAGTTTTTTTATTGAGTCCTATTGCAACAACAAAATAAAACGAACCGTAAACCTCTGAACCTATGTTATGCTGTATTATCAGGATTTGTTTGCTTATTTTTTTTTCTACACTGCTTCACAACTTGAAAGCAGAATTGTGTTTGCTTTGTACTTTTGGATTACATTGAATAATAAAAGAAAAGTGCAGTTCATCTGATTGGAGAATGACAGGAACCATTCAGTTAAAAAGAAAAAGAGCCTGAGTTCTGCTGGTTCATATTTGATTACAGGGCTGAATGTAGGAGCAACGCTATCCATGGTCCTGAACCTCTAGTCAGTGCAGAGGTCTGCTGCAGACAGCCGCATCCTATGAAAGAGTATCGACTTTTTGTTAAAAAGAAGTGTGAGCATGGAGTCCCCCGGCCATAGATGCTAAATAAAAACAGCCAAATTGGCTTTAGTCTGTATGTTCTACGTATGTTTACAACATGCAAAATAATAGGATGGCTATATGGGACCATGGTGCATTTGTAGTGAGACTTTTAAGCTTGCTTTTCTATTCTTGCCATCCTTTCGCAACCTGGCAACTGTTTTTGTGAACTGAAGGACGAATGCTGAGTCATTTCAGAACTATAAAAAACAATGTAGAATCTCATCTTTACACTACAATCCCTATACACCTCCTCAGTAATAATTACATGCCTTTGAGCAATCAACACTAAATATCATAATGCTGCTTGGGCTGATATCTATATGAGGCTTATACTGGACCTGGCAAAACTAATTATACCATTTGGTGTATTCTTTAATCATAGATTTTACATGACAGTCACTCAATTTAGTGCATACTTGTTACGTTATAGAAAAATTATTTTTACAAACAAAATTCTGAACACTGTGCCATGCAGCCAATACTATTATGTATTGATTCATCTATTCTTGCAATCACAGCTAATTTACCCACTAAGATTTTCACAGATTCTTCCTTATAAACAGTACCATATTCAGTTTGTTAAGGTTATGAGTGTTTTATTTTTTATGTCTTCCAAAAGTTTTCCGTTGGATTTATGTGTGGCCTTTGACACAGTCGTTCTAATGAATACACACATTTTGATCTTAGTGTACATTTGGCAGTATGTCTATAATTTACTGTCCTGCTTGGAGGTGAACCCTATTATGATTTTCAAGATTTTCTAGCAATTTTCTGGGTTCCTAGTGTTTCGCCTGAAAGTTGCTCCATCTATCTTTCCACCAAAGTTAAACAAGTTCCCTGTCCTGTGGAGGAGAAGCCTACTCACAGCATGATGCTGCCTCTACCATGTTTCACTAGGGGAATAATGATATCTTGGCAGGCATGTCAAGTTATTTCATAGGGCACATATTAATAGGTTTGCAGCTGTGCCACCCCCAGAAGAGAGATGGGAACCGTGTTCTGTAAAATGATCAAAGCTTAGCTTATTTTTACACAGCTTAAACCTTAAATCAGGTTTCTCCAAAGCTTATAATCTATGACCCTTTTGCTGTGTACATTGGTTTTCATGATGCTTGATTCATGATGCTGTTTACTAATTTAGTCTAACAAACCTCTAAGATCTTCACAAATCAGCTGCATTATTATAGATATAAACTCTAAATGTGTGGACTCTTTAATAATAAGACAGATAAGAAATGAATGACACGAAAATGGTTTTACTTGAGTTCTTTTAAGGTTAGAAGATTGAAGGGTCGTTTTAAATAGTTAGCTTTTTGGTGTGATGTTTTAAGATATATTTTCAGCCAGTCAGTGCTTTAACAAATAAAATAATTATTATTTATTGGAAAGAAATACCAACAGTGGCCGCCACTTGTTGCAACGTCAGACTCCATCCCTGCTCTCTCTCTCTTTCTCTGTAAAGCAGGAGGAGGGAGGGAGAAGTGGGGGACTCCGTCACATCCTCTGTCCACATATGGGCATGAAGTTTACACGCAGCGGGGAATCCTCTCACTGGAGCCGATGAATGGGGAGGAGGGTCCGAGGGAGCTGCCAAAGTGTATATAAGGAGAGAAAGGGGAAGTCGCTGATGTGAAACCCACAGCAAGCAAATACCTACCGAGGACCAGAAACGAAAAGGAATACCTTAAATTGAATTTCTTTTTTTTTCTTTCTTACTGCTTTGGATCATTTATGAAAAAGCCATTTATAAGGAGGTTGGATATAGAACGGTGATCTGCATTATTTGTTTCCCCCTTTTTTGTTATTTTTTTTTTCCCCTGTCCTTTTCTAATACCTTGGGAGAGACGGACTTCTTAAGTGCATCATTATGTTGAACAATATGGATTTGAATGCGAAAGATTCTTTTTATCCTCAGTTTGAGAATTGCAACAGTTCTTCCCTCGGAATGGAAAACGGCGTGCGGAAAGATAACAACCAAGAGGTGTTCGTCGATGCAGAGCGGGGGGTACCTGCCCAGTTTGGCCATGGTAAGTTACTGCTTGATAAACCCCGCATGCACGGCTGAAATGTGTGGGTTGGGAGCATTTTCAGAAATGGGTGTCACTTTTACTGTGTCAAAAGAGTAAATGAGGGATAAATGCGCAGAAAGGTTTATGTAAGGCATCATTTGTAAGTTCTCCCCTTTTCTGTTTCATCAGAAGGAACCCCTGCAACCCTAAAAACGGAGGCTTTCAACTCGGAGTACGCGTTTACCCACTGCGAGTGCCCAAAAGACGCATACACCCCCTCCTCCTCCTCCTCGCTCGCCTACTCCGGCAGCTTCTATGTTGAGGCATCTCAGGGAGCGCCCTGCAGCACCGAAACACTCCTCAATATGATCACCGAGATCGTGGGCATATCCACGCTGCCGCTCTCAGAGGCGCAACAGAACGGCAACTGCAGCCGGGGGACATACTCCTCTCCCGGGCCTCCAGACAGCAGCTCTGGCGGCTTCGGGGACTCAAAGCGGCAGTCATACACCTGTTCCGGATCCGATCAAGACCAAACCCCGCAAGACAACCAAGCCCATCAAGACCCGTCCACTTCCAAGTTCGGCTTTCAAAAGAAGCCAGAGCCAAAGTCGGAGGCCGCTTCTTTCCCCGTTGTAGTAAAGAATGAGTTTGAAAACAGCTGCTATGAGTGGGGGAGCTTTAACAATAAGTCTGACTGTTTGGAAACCACTTTCCACTCAGAGACGTTCCCCATGTCCAATGATTTCCCACCTGATCAGCAAATGGACGTTAAGGACCTTTTGGAGACTTTCCCCCCTATTTGTCCCAACCCAGAGATGGAGTTTAAGGTGGAGGGGGGGATCAAACAGGAGCCATGTTTCTCTGACACCTGTTCCCAGAGTTACTCGAGCCCTCTCTATAATAATTACCTCCCACCACCACCAACTATGGGCCTGAAACCCTTTCCAGAACCCCCGCAGCCATCAAACCAGTGCGACCCTCTCTACACATCACCAGCCTTACCCAGCACCATAGACTCCATCCTATACTCCTCCCTGCTGCCAGACTCCTTCCCGCAAACTTACACCAACCGCACGGCGAAGCCTCCCGGCAGCAGGGCGAGAAAGAGCCCCGCCTCCTCCTCTAACGGCCCGGCCAAGGAGAAGCCCTTCACCTGCCCCATGGAGAGCTGCGACCGGCGCTTCTCCCGCTCCGACGAGCTTAACCGGCACATACGCATCCACACGGGCCACAAGCCCTTCCAGTGTCGCATCTGCCTGCGCAGCTTCAGCCGGAGCGACCACCTTACCACCCACACCAGGACTCACACTGGGGAGAAACCCTTTTCCTGCGACGTGTGCGGTAAGAGGTTCGCCCGCAGCGACGAGAGGAAGCGGCACGGACGCGTTCACCTGAAGCAGAAGGAAAAAATGGAGATAAAGCCACAGGTGACCGCCGGGCCATGGCCGTTCAGTCTTCCAGAGGGAATATGAAAGTTGCGCCCTTTTTGTTTGGCGGGAATAAAATGTTAAAAGATGAAGCCAGCCTGAGTTGGTTTTGCTTTGCAAATCATCCTGTAAACTCAGAGGTTTATTTTTAGAGGAGCAAGGAGGAGGAAAAGAGCCTTATAGCGCGTTGCTGCTGACTTTCTGCAGCCATGCCAAAGCTGCACAGGTCGACTAGCAGATCAACAGAGACTTGTTGCTTTAACTGTCAGAGGCGCCAAAGCCTCTGTGTTCTACACTGCATGACCGGTCTGTTTCAGCACCTCTTCAATCTGGACAGCTCCAGCCTCCATTTGCCTCAGAGCCATGTGTGGATTGCATTTACAGATTAGAAATTATGAATATTTCAATTAATAGATTCCTTAGTTTCTGCTTTTAGCATTCGTAGAGCAATGATTTTAACCTATGTTTTCTTCAAAAAAACAAAGTGCATGTTTGTGTCAATGTTTTCTTTCACTTAACTGGAATATCAGCCACTCTCAGCCCCTCACTCATCGCAGTGAATTAAAGGGTTGTATTTTTGTTTTGTTTTTTAGACATGAATGTATGGTTTTGACCATGAAGCTGTTCATCTATGATCAGTTTAGTGTTTTTATCTTACTCTTCATTTTACTGTCAATGTTTCTTTTGTCACTGGTCTTTGTGTTGTGTTACAATCGTTTATTAGATTATTACAGTTGTGGAAGATATATCATAAATGGGAAATAAATATATTTGTATCACTGTACCTCTTTGTATTTTTATAGATTAAGTGAATATTTGACAATTAATCATAAAGTGAAATGTATTCTCAATTATAAATAATGTCTTGATTAATTATAATTTTTTTTAGGGCTATCATTTCGTAACAATATTTTGAATGTTACAGTTTGATATGACAAAAAAAAAAACACTTTTCGCAAGTCATTCCTTTATTGGTGAGATAGAGAAAATTGTCTCGATGAATTGTTGATATGGATTTTCAATGGGAATATGTACTTCAGTAAATTAGACTCTTTTACAGGTTGTACAGAATTATGTTCAGCTGAGCTAGAAGTTCCTAGCAAACCACATAAACATTGCTTTTGAGTAATCTGGTAGCACACATTGCTGCGAGTCTCTGTAGACTGTAGATTAAAGGGTTTTGGACGTCTGGTTCCTTTTGCTGAGGGTACTTTTTGCTGAAATGTTCACTTTAGCAAAATAAATAAATAAATAACAAATACAATAAAAGCATTGAAGTATTTGGTGATATTGTCACCAACAGGGTATTGCAAAAAAAGTAATTTAACTCGCCTTAAGTTATATTAACTGTTCAAGTAAAAATTTTGTACATAGATGATTTCTACAATATATTACATTAATATTGATGTTGTTATTTTTATTAAAAGTTTATGAATGAAATAAACATTTTCTGGAAGCTCTAAGTTTCTTGTGTGTCTCTGGAAAAGCAAAATGAAAACTTGCAAATATTTTTCTTGTTTTCACTTCACCCAATCTGTGCCACATGGCTCTGAGAGCCCCTCATTGCAATGAACGAGTGTGTCACTTCCCAAAATACACATTAGAACAGGCCACCTGTGGCTCCTGACTGCAGACCCAAAGTTAGAAATCAAAGCTCTGCTCTGTGAATCACAAAGCTCAGATATATTTCACGTGAAACCCTTTTAATGTCTGAAAGGAGTCTCTTGATATAACACCACGATTGCCTCTGTGATCTCTTTAATCAGGAGGTTTTCCTGCCCTGTCAGGGAAGTGATCTGAAGCTCCTGCTTGACTAATTTCCTTGTCTCGTCTTGTCAAAATACTTGGGATTCCTGTGAATGCTGGTATTATTATCTGTGCTTAGGTCTGTCCAGGGGCTCAAATACTCCCTGAAAAAAAGGAAAAGAAAAAAAAAACATTTACCTGGGCTTATATACTTTTCATTTAAACTTTTATTTCAAATGTTGCCATATTATACATATAAATCTGAAAATGTTCAAAGAATGTCATGATAGCAAAGATGAAGGAAAACAATTAAAATTTAAAAAGTGTGGTGTGCACTGTGCATCTATATACATAAAACTTAAATGCCATACCATAGATAAAAACAATTAAGCAATTTGACCATGGACTTACTTACACGTGGCTGTCCATTCATTTTATGAGCCTTGCCAATGAGAGAATAAGTTAAAGAATGCAAACCTCTGATATACTTAATAGATCACTGAGTGTTTCTTTTAGAACATCCATAGAGTAATGAGTCCATAGAACATCTTCATATATATATATATATATATATATATATATATATATATATATATATATATATATATATATATATATATATATATATATATATATGGAGTGGTTAGCTAGCATGCAGCTAGCATGCATCAATAAAGTGTCAACAGCAGTAAACTTTCTCCAAATTAAGTATAATACAACCCTGTTCCAAATGGTATAAAATCCATCATTATGACAATGTGTTTTTTTTATTATTTATTTTTTGCTTGAGAAAAAATGTCTAAATAGATATTCACAGCCTTACAGCCTTTGCTAAATAAATTGTTGATCCCTGTTTTGCAGCAATTACAGCCTAAAATAATTTTGGATAATATGCCTTAAGCTTAACACACCTATTTTTAGGGGGAATTTGGTTTATTGGTCCCTGCAATTCATCTCAAACTCTGTCAGTTTGGATTTTAGACATCTGTGCAAAGACAATTTTCAGATCTTTCCCAAGATTTTATATTTATCCAGGATGTCATCCAGGATGTCATCCAGGATGTCTCTTCACAATGTAGCATTCATCATTACCTCAATCCTAAATAGACAACCAAATCCTGCTACTGAAAAATATCCCAATAGCATGGTGCTTTTGTCCAAAGAGGATGCCTAGGATGGAAACAGAGTTCAATCTTTGTTTCATCAGAGAATGTATTTCATTGTCTTTGTGTGTCTTTTGAAAAACTGCATTGTGACTCTTATTCAGCGAGGCTTTTTTTCTGGTCATGGTAGCTAAGGAGGTACATTTTGTGGGTTGCTTGTGGCTTAACCTCTGTCAACCATTTCCAACTCAGTTGTATCTACAGTGTAGATTACCTCTGGCAGCGTATGAATGTGTTCATGAATGACTAACTGTATTTTATAGCATTTTGGGCTCCTTAGACTTGATAAAACTCCATGTAAGTACAGGAAATTCACCATGTACCACTTTACCATATTTAATGATTGGTAAATTGCAGCAGATTTTCTTTCTGGAAATAACCCAGCTGCTTCAGGCGTCCTTCTGGAAGGTTCTTCTCTTTCTACAGAGGAACACTGTAGCTCTGACAGAGTGACAAAAGGGTTCTAGGTCACCTCCCTTTTCACTGACACCTCACTTTAGACCAGGCATGTCCAACGTCAGTCCTCGAGGGCCACTGCCCTGCAGGTTTCGAATAGCTGATTACCAGGATTTTGCTGAAGTGCAATCAACAGAATCAGCTGTGCTGACATCAAGAAACATTGAAAACCTCTAGGACAGTGGTCCTTAAGGACCAACTTTGGACATGCCTGGTTTCGACAGTTGATCAGCTCCCAAACTTCTTACTTTAACCAAAAATGATCTTACTGAAGTCATAAGGCACCGAAGGTTATCTGTATCGCTCCCCAGATCTGCACTTCAAGACAATCCTGAGACGTTCAAACAATATTGAAGAAATAATGCTCCCATACTGCATCCATCTGAGTAAGTTATGTTAATAGCAATGTGCAAAAAAGTGAAAGCTCTAGATATGAAATGCTGCAGACATAGCTAAACCAAAATCATGCGACAGCAATTCTACTATAGGTTGTTCTATAAATGACTGACTTATGAGAGCTGAAGACAAATGCACCTCAAAATCTTATTCTAGAAACATATCTACCGATCAAATGTGTATGATATAAAATCACATTGATACTCACTAACAATTATAGCTGTAAGTAAAGTTCAGGGTTTTGAATGCTTTCAGGAAGCACTAAATATGTTACTAGATGAAAAAGAATCAGTTTGCTCCAGATAATGCTAAAGTATCTAAATATGGCACAGTTCTATTACCAACTGTACCTGGATCAGATTTCAGGATGACGATTCAAAGGGGCTTTCTGTTGTGGGCATCTTTTTTTTTACCATGCCAAGACCTTCCAATCTGTCCCTGCAGCCTATAGAGCCATGTACGAGAGGGTCTCCACGGTGGTACGTAGGACATGCATGTGGCCGTGACGCAGTCCACTGGCAGAACACTACCCTGCTTGCCCACGTCAGTGCGTAAGTGCCTGAGCTGTCTGTAGCTGACAAACATACTGTACCAGTGTGAAAATGCAAGCTGCCACATGGAGCACTGTGAATAGTATGTACCCATCTTCTGCTGTCTATCATTCATCATCTCCTACAATAGCACAGAGCCCAACCGGCATCAACAAGGCCTGCCTTTATCTGTGTTATTTTAGTGGCAAAAATTTCCCAGTGATGGAGCAGATGAGATTTTGAATTGCAGCGATGTACAGTCACAGTGACCATTATCTGCACACTTGAAGACTGAAGAGGCATTGAACTCTGGCCACTGATGGAATTTCTGCAATTGTACATTTGGTGAGCTCAAATTCACATTTGCATACAGTAAATGGTCCTTGATGTATCTGCTGCACGGCAGTATATGTTTACCCTGTTTTAACAAAAGCCTCTGATAGAGACAAAAGACATAAATCATTTCCTTTCAGCTGAGTGACATTTATGGCTTTTGCTCCTGTAGATATGCAAAATACCTGAGGCCATTAAGTAATTTTGCAGGAGCGCTGAGAACCAGGCTCTCTAAGAAAGCTGAATGCTGCGAATGGTGGCATATCAAGTCCATTAAATCCTTTGCCAAGGCATTACTAATGCTAAGATGTTAACATTAGAGCTGTTGCAACAGGGTGTTTATCCAAGGTTGTCTGTCTCTCTCAATCATATGTTTCAAAAGCAACCAGGGAGAAACACATGAACAGATGTAATTTCACTTCTGCACCATCTAACCCACAGAAATCTTTTGATACTGGATGGGTTTTGAATTAGTCAACTGCCCTTTTAACACGTTTCCCCTAAAGATATATTTTTTCATTCATAAATACATTTGATAGCTGAGAACAGGTGTTACAACAGAATATCTGTGCTCACAGTTTATGTTGCTTTAGTTTAATCTCAAACTGCAAAAAGCCACTTCTTTATTTTTTTTTCTCTGATAGCTTGAAAATCTAAAAACTAGATATTAGAGACTGATACCTGTATATGCATCTAAATAGTTAGTTAAAGGTACTTGCAAAGAAAATATTCTAGAAATTGAATAGCTTGTAAAAAGCATCCTGCCATGAGTAATTCTTCACATTTTTTGATGGGTATACAGAGAAAAAAAAGGGAGAATATTGTTTGTATCTTAGTTATTAAGAAAATTACCAGA